TTGTCGGAAGCCTCCCGTCTATCATGCGGACGGCATGCGGTGCAATCGCAGCGTCGAGCTGTGCGACGCACGACGCAAGCGTACCAGCGCAGCAGCTGCGCACAGCGGCGCGCTCGGCGTCGTCGGGCAGCGAGCTGTCCAGGAGCCGAAGTTGAGGCGGCGTCGCGGCGAGAAGGCCCGCGACAGTATCGAAGCGGCCGCGCTGCCAGGCATCTCTCCGGCGAGAGGAACTTGTTCAGCAGGATCAGGGATAGTCTCGTGCACTACCTCACTGGGCCTGAGACCACAGAGCCAGCCTCCCATCACCGTCTCGGATTCATGTGGGATCGAACCACTCCGGGGTGGGCAAGAGGCGGAGCCGGAGGAGCGAAACGCTAGCTTGTTCAACGAACGCGTGGGCCTTCTAGATTAACACATCTCCGCACAGCACATAACACAAGCAAAAGCGACCCACCTCCGAGACCCACACAGAGCGGCGCTGCTTCCTGTCCCAAGCGTCATCAGCCGCCGCCGAAACCGACCCCCGACCCTTTGCCGCCATTCTGCTCGCTTCCCTTCTTTATGTCTCTTTACATACACATAACATAAAATAACACAATATCATAAAGAAGACGCGCACGCACGTCTCCGCGGACTCCGCACGCCAACCCCCGGCGTACCCTCCCCCTCCCTAATCAAGGCGACGGGGACGATATCAGGCGACACGAGATACGAGGGAGACAAAAACAAGTCTCCACCGACAGGAAGGAAAAGAATTCTTAAGATACAAGCCTCTCTCACAGCACACTGGCACGACAAGGGCGCAGACTGGCGCGGACTGGCACACACACAGGCTCACCACCGGAGCCGCCTAAGCGACTCCGTGAAGAACGGCAATGCACTCCGCACCATGCACAATGCCGCTCTCCCCGCACGCTAGCTCGTTCACCGTCTGCCACGCCACGGCGGTGTGGAGGACGACAGACAAGCGCTGCATCTGGAAAAGAAATCCGCGCCGTATCGCGGCTTCACGCCACGCCGATGGCCTCCCACGCATCGGCGCCCGCCTGTCTGGCCTCTCGCCAGAGCAGCTCGTCGCTTTCATCGACGAGCAGGCGCCTCTCTGGAGCGCCGCCGCAATGCGCGTGGCGGAGGAGCACGTCGCACGGCTCGTGGAGCAGCCCGAGTGGGTGCTCTCCGAGGTCCTCCTCTCCCCGGACCTTGTCCCGCACATCCTCGCCCAGCTGCCGACCAAGGAGCACGCCGCCAAGGGGACGTGCCGCGCGTGGCGCCGCGGCTGGAAGGAGACGCTGAAGAAGCGCGAGAGGCCGCGCCTGGTCGTGATCGGCGGCGAAGACGGCGACGGTGGGACTGTCAATTCGCTGGAGCGGTACGACCCGTCCACAAATGAGTGGGAGGAGGAGGCTGTTGCGCCGATGCCTTCGGCACGAAGGTTTGTCGGCACGGCGGTGCTCGATGGCAAGCTCTACGCGGCGGGCGGCCTGGATGTGGCCGACAGCTACGAAACATCCAAACTGGTGGAGCAGTACGACCTGGCTACAAAATCGTGGGAGGCGGTGGCGCCGATGGCGACGGCACGATATTCTCTCGGCGTGGCGGTGCTCAACGGCAGGCTGTATGCTGCGGGCGGCTACGACGGTGGCAATCTTAGCTCAGTGGAGCGGTACGACCCGGCGGCGGGTGCGTGGGAGACGGTGGCGCCGATGGCAACGGCTCGAGGTGAGCTCGCAGTGGCGGTGCTCGACGGCAAGCTGTACGCTGTGGGTGGCATCAACGACGGTGGCTTCCTCAGTTCGGTCGAGCGGTTCGACCTCGTGACGAATGAGTGGGAGGCGGTGGCGCCGATGGGGACGTCGCGGGCTCTCGCCGGCGTCGCGGTGCTCGACGGCAAGCTGTATGCCGTGGGCGGGTACGACGGTGGCAATCTTAGCTCGGTGGAGTGGTACGACCCGGCGCTGGATGCGTGGGAGGCGGTGGCGCCGATGGCGACGGCTCGGTGCCATCTCGCTGTGGCGGTGCTCGACGGCAAGCTGTATGCTGTGGGAGGCCACAACGACAACGACGGCCACCTCAGCTCGGCGGAGCGGTACAACCCGGCGCTGGATGCGTGGGAGGAGGTGGCTCCGATGATGGCGGCGGCGCGTGTGAATGGCGCTTGTCTTGTAGTTTACCGAAAAAAAGAAAAAGGTTTCATCCACACCCTCCTCCCCTGCGCGTCACGCTGCCCCGTCGTCCAAGCCGCCCCGGCTCGCCCGCCCTCAACGCCCCGCGAAAGTCGCTTCGCAGCCGCGACGCGCGCGCTGCGTTCCAAGCGTCGAGAGCGGCAAAAACGCGGCGGCCGTAGATCGAGAGCAGCACCAACCGCAGCGGCATCGTGAGCGAGTTTGTGCACGCCGCCGCGGCGACGCAGCTGGTCGATGACGTGAGGGCTGTGGCGCCGCCGCCGCCCGCGGTGGGCGGAGGGTCCAGTCAACCGCTACGGCGGTCCCTATATGTTCACGCACTGGCTCAACGGCCTCCTGACCGTCGGCACGGCCACCGCGTGCACCCACCTCGGCGTGGACGTCGTGGGCGCCCTCTCCTACATCCCCTTCCTCGACGCGGGCGGCGGCGGCGCCACAGCCCTCACGTCATCGACCAGCTGCGTCGCCGCGGCGGCGTGCACAAACTCGCTCACGATGCCGCTGCGGTTGTGCTGCTCTCGATCTACGGCCGCCGCGTTTTTGCCGCTCTCGACGCTTGGAACGCAGCGCGCGCGTCGCGGCTGCGAAGCGACTTTCGCGGGGCGTTGAGGGCGGGCGAGCCGGGGCGGCTTGGACGACGGGGCAGCGTGACGCGCAGGGGAGGAGGGTGTGGATGAAACCTTTTTCTTTTTTTCGGTAAACTACAAGACAAGCGCCATTCACACGCGCCGCCGCCATCATCGGAGCCACCTCCTCCCACGCATCCAGCGCCGGGTTGTACCGCTCCGCCGAGCTGAGGTGGCCGTCGTTGTCGTTGTGGCCTCCCACAG